TGCTGGGTGGAAGACTTGAACCTTCCACAGGGGTTTTGTTGTAATAATGTAACTTTAAAAAATAGGTGACAAGATCATTTATTTTGCATAGACAATGAGGCTTCATGGTTGGGTAAAAATAAAGCAGATGACTGAATTCAAAATTTTCTTTTTAAACTATTTACCAAGGCCTAAAAATATGAGGCTCTATTTTGGGTGGTAGTCTTGTTTATTTGATGCTTAAATGAATGAAATTTGTAAAATATACTTCAGTAGCTGATGCCTGCAGGGGCACAGAGCAGGTGGCAGCATACCAAAGTCCATCATTATGCATAGCTTTTCACTCTTGGATGACTGTGATCATGATCAGAAAACTAGACAAAAGTCCAGCTTTTCTGCTGAAAAATCCATCGTCATCCTTCTCTAGCCTTGCTTCAAGCCGCAAAATATGCTTCATTTAAGCAAATAAATGTAATTGTGTTCCCAGTCTCCTCTCTCCAGCAAGCAAACAAATCACTAAGAGGAAAAATAGTTCTAATGACAATTGCTGTATGAGAAAAACAGATCCCAGCTGGAGTCATTGAAAATTTCTGTCCTATTTCTAATTGCCTTATCTTGTTAACTAGCTACCTGCAAATGAGTGTTGGCTTAATAATTATGTCAGTGAAAAAGTAAACTTTCAAGTCATGAATTGCATAATCATTTGATGTTGAGATTTCTCACACATGCTATTTTGAACGATCTCATGATGCAATGAGGATAATTGTTCAGCTGAGGAAAAAGATTCAGACAGGTTAAGGATATGACAGTGCGAAAAGGTTAAAAACAGTTTAATTTTAGTGTCTTACTGCCTTTTCCTGAACTGCCCAGGGCAGAATTATGTCACTCACTGTGCATTATCCACACTGAGAACTGGGAGGTCAAAGGAGAGAGTGACAGTGAGAAATAGTTACCAAGTTTGGCTTTGATATCCTAGGCTATCTCAGCTCCCCAAAGCTGAGTCTACAGTTACGGGCTACCATGAAGACTTAATTAATTTTTGAATGCACCTAAGAGATCATTAAAGTTCACATATGCTGCTGTTCTGAAATTTAAATATGACAAGGGGTCAATAGTACAATGAAGATATGATGATTATATTACAGAGCCTCAACATGTATCTTCAACAGTGTGGAATTTCTCATTTAAAATCGTAAAGTGACAGAAACCCACAATAAAAGTATTTTCTGACATCTCTTTAAGGTGCCAAATTTGATTTACTATAACCCCAAAGTCCCAAAGTAGTACACTGAGATGTTTCTCTGTACAAGGAGCACCTTGTGAAAAATAATTGGCACCCTGCACTGTATTTTAAAGTACAAAAGCTCATTTAGAGTAACAGGCAAGGTCAAAAACAGGACCACTCCCCAAAGCACCTGCACACTCACTTTCAAAAGGTTCAAGGTTATTGTTTCTGTGTGCAGATTCATAAGAAATCTCACCACTATGATATGAATCCTCACCATGTAGCACCACACATTACTGAGTACACAGGGGACACTTTGTGTAGCTCTGAGAAGATCACACACTCTTTTTAGATTTATTTGATTTTCCACATTTAAAGATCCATGTTTGTTTATTCTCTGCTTCACTGCTGCTGAGAAAATCAGCACCTCATTCAAAAAGCCAACTGAGCCTCAGGACTGGGGACTGAAGTGGAGCTCAGTACCCTTTGGAAAGTGACTCAGCATGGCAAAGGCTATGTGAGAGTGGGCACGTGAGGGCATGATACAAATGTAAAATACTCCCTCCATAGTTAGATCTTAGCATCAAATAAACTAAACAAATGTGGTAATATTTTATGTACCTTTTATTATATTTTCTGCTATGATAAAGTGTAATTACACTGTCTTAAATATTATGCATGTACTACTCCACGCTCAAGTAGTTCTCTGTGTATTCCCACATTATCCTGACTATGTAAGAATGGAGCTCAACTGCAAATTTGACTTTAAATAACAGGCAGACTGTGGTGAAGATATCCATTGCTTGTTTTGTATATTTGGGAGTGTGTATCTTAGATGATGTTCTTTACCTTCAATTTTTGTGTAGCAAGCAGATAGTTAGTATCATGTGGTCTAATTCACAGCTTTCTGTAAACTAGGGGATTTCTTCAAAAATAACCATTGATGAAAGCATGGAAATTTGTATCCCATAAGATATCCTGCTTTTCCATGCTATTTCCAAGAGAGCACTTATTAGAAAAGAAAAGTGGGGATATGATTGTGTGAGCTTGTAAGAAATCAAACTTCTTTTGGCATTTCTTGAGTGATGTACTGGTTTATTTCACTTGCTGTTAAATGGCCACATCTAAAGTTTCAATGAGAAATTTAAGAAAATAAACATTCATTTCAGTCTTATAAATGAGAGTACTCAATTGAAAAAATTCCACATTTTCTTAAATTTTTACAGTTGGTTTGAATGTGACAAAATAATTTTATAACAAATATAGTATTTCATAGCAAAAATAGCCCAGTGGTCACCTTACTAAGATCATCTTGTCCCAACAAAAATTATGGAAACTGTGTCCAGACATGATCATTCGAATGGCAGGCCTTTGTTATCTGAAAAACTCTGGACCTACACTGAGATATAAATATTTCTGTCTCTTCATTATCAGTAAGTTCATTCCTATGTATATAATGGTATAAGTGAAGCCAGTGACCTCAAGTGAAAACATCTGGGCAACTAACCATGGTGAAAGATCTCTAGTTCTGCTGTGCTTAAAGTGCTCAGGGAATCTGGTATAAATGTACCAGATCTATTGGAGGTTCATGGTCTGTCTCTTTTCCTCTTTGCAAGGCCAATAGCACTGGTACTGAGCTGGTTTTCCTTTGATGCTGAAAAAAAATATTCAGGTTCTAGAAAAATCCTGTCCAAGTAAAAGCCTGACAAAAATAAAGACACACTGTGGAAATTTGAGCCTTGTCAGCTATTTTCTATAAATCTTTCCATGAATGAGATAATTAAAAAGATGGGAGCAACCAGTATCTCCTTTTATTGCATCTAGCTGTTACTACTGTTAAATCTGGTACTAGAGTTTTCTCAACACACTTCTTGATATTGTTACCAATTTTCTTTCCATTTCAGGTTACCTTTAGTCCTTTGATACCATGTTTAGAAACAATGCCCAGTTTCCTTCTATCACATATCTGAAAAGGACATCTTTGGCCTTGCCAAGGTCTCCTTGATGATTCATTTCAGGTGGACCTGGACAGGATTGCTCATTACAGAAGATCATAAAAGTCTTCAGTCTCTCTCAGACATAAAAGCAGAGATGGACAAGAAAGACACTTGTGTTGAAAATCTAAAAATGACCTCAAATCCTTTGGTGTCATATGTCTCAAATATGCAGCAACAATATAGCCTGACCAAGGAACCAACATCAGTAACATATTATTTACTATGACAGTGATGGTCTAAATGAAGTCAATATTGATATCCGACAATATTTAGTGATTTGGACAGTCTGGGAGACAATCTCCCAATTGTATGTTGACATGCTTGGGAGAAATTTCATCCTTGACTTCATGGTACTTTCATTTTCTTCAAAACACCAGGAGACATCCAGTTTGAAAAATTTTGTCCAAACATCTAATCCTTTCAAAAACCCAGAAGATACTTACCTTACTATGCTTTGGGGCCCAGAATTTCCATTGCTTTTTCTCAGATTCTGATTGTACACATGCAGAGAACATTTTGATATTGTATCTAAAATGTCAAGCACTAAATATTTCTGGTTCATAAAAATATAATTCTCAATAATGTATAGTTTATATAGTTAATTAAGCTGTCACTACTTCAAAATATTGCTTATCAACTCGAATTGATTGAAAGTAATCTTGTTCACTTAGACACAAATTTACAACTACACAATCAAAATAATTTTATTAGGAGTAGTAGGAAACTGTCTATATTAAGTAAATGGTATTTGTATTTCCCTAAAAAATCACATTTTGTGGTTCAAATCTGAAAACAAAAATGAGACCATTTATCTATATGACCACTTCTACCAGACATTTCACCAAAGATTTTGGCAAATGCAGTAGACTCTAGAAAATAAAAAAGGGCAAACATATATTTGAAAGGAAAAAATATAATTCACATGATTTTCTCAGAACATTGGTGTGGAAGAATCCAGTAAGTGGATAAATTAATAGTTAAATTTAGTGGTGATGCAATGCTAGTTCAGTATAAAAAAGAAGCTATTTCTACAGAATGTTCTGATCCTCCTGGAGCTATAAGATCATGTCACTTATCTTCTTTATTTTAAGGTTTCACGGTATACTCCTTTGGGAGACTGAGGATCTTGCCCTGATACCGATTTATGCAGGTAAAAATACAAATAGATATTTTAAAAGTATAAGAAGCAATGGAAAGGAAAGTATAGGACAGGACTCATAAAACATACTTGGGCTCAACAAGTCCCTTGAGATTCTGGGGTGGGCCTGTGAATAAGAGAAAAATAGCAAAGAATGAAAATTTGAATTCATCACTAGTCAAGGAGTACTGTGTGAATTGTCTAGATCATCAGTATGGCAACATTTAGCAAAACAATTATTTGCAAAGTGTGGATTTTCAGAGTTACAAAGGCCCCTTGGGGAAGAACCTGGTTGTTAGAGGGTTGAACTTAACAGTTCTAACAGCTGCTCTTATGAAGCTTTTTGTGAAGCACTCCCATTGTCAAGGCCAACAACTGGGCTTTCAACTACACCCTGATCCTCCCTCTCTCACCTTCTGTTTCCTTTGCTCTTTCTCTTCATAGTCCACCCCAACACATTCACCTGCATCCTCCAGCACACCACATTTGCAGCTGTCTTCACTGTGGCTGTTTCCACTATCTTGGCCAAAACCAATTCTGTGGTCCTTGCATTTAAAATCACTGCTCCAGGCAAAAAGATAAAGGCAGTTGCTGGTATTAGTGGAACAAATCTACATCACCCCAATCTGCTCCCTGATTCGACTCACTCTCTGCAGTCTGAATGGGGACAAATTCACCCTACAGTGATACAGGCGCACACTCTGAACGTGGCCACATCGTCATCATGTGCAATAAGGGCTCCCTCACTGCCTTCCACTGTGTCCTGGCATACCTGGACTCCCTGGCCCTGATCAGCTTTCCTGAATTTCCTGGTTAGGAACTGCCTGACACATTCAGTGAAGCCAAGTTCCTAACATTCAGCATGGTGGTATTTTGCAGTGTGTAGCTCACCTTCCTCCCCATGTACCACAACTACAAGGGGAAGGTGATGGTGACTATGGAGGTCTTCTTCACCTTGGCCGCCAGTGCACGTTTTCTTGGCTGTATCTTTGTTGCTAAGTGCTACACTATTTTGTTAAGACCAGAAAGAAACTATTTGTATGAGTTCTGAGATAAAAAAGAAATTCTAAAAGCATTAATCCTACTGAGGTTTAAACATGTTTCTGAAAATGCATAGCAAGGCTACATGATTTTTACCATATTTATTAGATTATACTTTAAGATTTATTTCAGCCAACAGTGACTCTAACTTCTGTCTGCAATGGTACTGTTACTATAGTTTGTAACTATCATCTTTTTCAATGGAAATTTACTCTGGATATTTTTCCTCTAAATTAATCCACAACCCATACTATTATTTCGTCTTAATTGTGATTATGTTTTCAGTTTTATCTCATCTTTCTCTTACATTTTGACTTGTTTTTTAAATTCTTTAATATACTAAATCTGTGCTTGTTTACCACTTATTTTTTCTTTTTAAAATTTATTTAAATAAAGGCAAAACAAAATCAAAAATGGGAAGAAATAGTACATACTTTCAAAGAAAAGAAATAGACAGCAATAAATCACTAGCTGATGTATACATACTGTCCCCCTATAAATAGTTGTTCAAGGTACACAAGTGGAACATATAAATGGGATTTCAACCAGGGAGACTGCAACAGTTCTGTTCAACTATCCAACAAAAACTAAGTATTATGGCTATCAATCCTATACACTTAGACATGTATGCATTTATACATATCTTCATTTATGTTGAGACCTAACACAGCTTATTAGATTAAAATCCTTCTGAGCAAATATTAATAATATTGCTAGATTTCACATCATAACACTCCAGAATCAGGATTAGGTACTGCAGTGCCACTTTCTTTCTTTCAAAGTTTTTTTCATCATGTATCATCAGAGCTGTTCTCATAAACTGTTTATAGGTTTTATGTAAGCATTAGTCTTAACATGTGTTTCTATCCTTTCTATATTAGAGGGAGAAACATAACAAAGTAGGACAGAACTAAACTTTTTCTATAGACATATAAAACTAAAAGGATATATAAATATGCTGTATAAGGAAGGAGTCCTACCCTGGTCACTGTGCTGTTTTGTGTTATCTTCAACAGAATTTGCTATAGAATCAGATAAAGTATAATTGAGCATATCGGTATATAACAGAATTAACAGAAATCTTGGCTGTATCTTTGTTGCTAAGTGCTACATTATTTTGTTAAGACCAGAAAGAAACTATTTGTATGAGTTCTGAGATAAAAAAGAAATTCTGAAAGCATGAACCCTACTTAGGTTTAAACATGTTTGAACCTAAACTTTGTAGATAGTGTAAAGCTACAAAAATAGGTATTAATCAAATCAGAATGGATATTATAGTGAATCATTGTCATTTTCAGTATGGTTGTCTATACTCCTCAACTTATTACCATCAACCTTTCAGTTCTGAATAAAATCTATCAATAAGCAGCAATTAAACAAGTCAGATTTAACTAAAATCAGTTATGATACAACAGTATAAGTCACACGTGGATCCTGATTGAGTTAATACAGAATTAAAGATGTCCTCTATGCTATGGACAGCCTTCTGTGCCCCTCAGATACAGTGCTTGTATACAAACTAGGATAGAATGAGTTCCAACCAAGCATAGTGGTGTGAGTAATAGGGGTTTTAATTCCTGATACACTATTAGCTATATCTTCTGCTATTTTTTTTGAGGACTATCCCTCCCCTTTACTCCCCCAGAATGAACTGTATATTTTTGGCTCTCCCCAACACTCATTGTTTTGTATTAGGGGGGCAACCTGCTATTTACCTGTTTCTGAACTTTCTTACTCCTGGGTTGGATTTCTAGTTATATTTCTTCATTTATTAAAGCCTGTCTGTTAAACCTATCCATATAGACTGGTCTAGTTACTCCTATTACTCTCTGGTTCCTTATCACATTGAGTTCCATTTTCTCATGTTTGATTTTGGTCCATATAACCTTCTTCAGGCTAATTATATTTCTGAAAAAGAGCCTCTCAGTAGACTCTATATCTTGATCAACTCTGCCTGCAATTCTCTCTTTTTTCCCTCAAGTTAGTGTATCTAGGCCATCTATATTAGAAATTATATACAACCCTCTCTGCCTCATTTCTGTTGAGCTCTTTTTCTGACATTAGTTGTCAGTTTGTGTTCTTCATTTTGCTTTCTGCTCCATTCATTGTGGTCTCTCTGCCACTGTTTCTGGAATCTTGGTACTTTTCTCTTTAAGAATGTCCTGCAGTATTTTCTGTAGAGTTGAATTGGTGGTTGCAAATTCCCTTAGTTTCTCTTTATCCTGGAAGCACCTTATTTCTCCATTAATTTCTAGGGACATTTGTGCAAGATATATCAATCTTGACTGGAGGTTATGTCTTCCAAAGCTTGAATTTCACCCCACGCTCTTCATGATTTCATGGTTTGTGCTGAGAAGTGTGCTGTAATTCTGATGGGCGTTCCCTTGTAAGTGATCTGTTTCTTGTGTCTGACAGCTTTTAATACTATGTTCTTATATTGGATTTCTGGAATTTTGATTATTATATGCCTGAGTGTAGCTCTGTTTGGATTGTAGGTGGCTGCCATTCTGTATGCCTCATACATCTGAGCATCTTTACCTTTTCCTATATTTGGGAAGTTCTCTTCTATCATTTCTTTCTGTGAATAGCCTTTGCTATTCATTTGTTTGTATCCCTGCTTCTTCCTTTGCATTCTTAATTCTATCCTCAGGTGGAACATCTATGCTCAGCACGCTGCTGATTTAATTCAGCTGGTGTTAAGTTGACCACCAGTTTTTAATCTATAACGTTTATGAACTTTATTTCATTTTGAAGCAGCATACTTTTAATATGCTGATTACAACATTTTTGGTACATGATTTTGTATTTTTCTTTCCAAGTGTTACTACTGCAATGTGTCTGAAGGTTTTTTTTTTTTTACAGTATTCTCTCCCATTGAGTCTTTAGAATTCTAGAATTGGCTGAGCATACATAATTGTAAATAATTCTCATTTTGGAGAGCATGTTATTTAGTTTATGGGTTAATTTAATACTATAGTGTGTGTCTAGATGTTCCTCAAAGAAGCCTTCAGTCAGAAATAGATAATTTCAGAAAGGGTGGGATTTACAGTGTCTGATGCTGGGATGGAGAGAGGTGCTTCCTACATCAGTTAACTTATTGGTTCAGCGCTGCTCCAATTCCAGTTACCTAGTTATAATGTAAAAGGTCAGAACGAAGCTGCTAAGGTCCTTTCCTTGTTCTCTTTTGCAAGTAATAAGTGTAAAACTTTCTCCACTGATGTTTCAAAGTCTTTAGAAATGAATTTAATTGCACAAATAATTTTTTATTATTTTGACAGAATCAGTAATTAATAGTCACATAGTAAAATAATTGCATAATATATGTGCACTTTTAGATAAAATCTTATAATATCAAGCACTCAATGGTGGACATTTTATGTCACAAAACAAAGCCTGGTTCCTTTTCACAGGCTGTCACCGTGTGGCCACCAACATGGTCCTTACGTCATCTGAGAGGAACGCCTTGTGCATGTGAGTGCTCACCATATCTGAGCACAAACCTACTGCCACATAGGGAACTATTTATCTGGACCAGGATTTGGCATCCTCCCAGACCCCAGGAGCAGTGCCTTTCTTCGTACATTTCCTGAAAAATGGGAAGGTTTCAGCACAGGTAAAGAAGGCCATCAGGGTGAGGAAGTGCTAAGGCTGTGAGTGCTGCTCCATGTACACATCAAGTCCCACTCCCCTCCACTGCAGACAGTACTAACAGATGGCAACCAAAAGCTTGAACTATACCTGACCAGGTTCTGTAAGTACCAGCATCTGCCATTCCACAAGGCCAGTGTCCCAACTAGAGGATTGTGTGCGGACCTTGCAGGATGACTCTTCATTGGAGCAGAAGTACCTTCCTGTTCTCATTGCCTCAAATACTAGTGATGGGTCATTTTGTGTCAAAGTGGCACACATCACAGCCCTGTTATAAATATGATCTCATATCTGGATCTATTCACCTAGAAATGTCTTGTTTACCTTTCTGTATGGCTGAATAGTACTGTATTGTAAAAAGACCACTTTTTTATCCATTCATCAGTTGATTGACATTTGGGCTGTTTCTAAGATCCAGATATTACAAACTGTGCTGCTATACACATGAATGTGCATATGTCATTGTGATATAATATTTTTTATCCTTTCAGACAGATACAAAGAAGGAGAATACATGAGGTGAATGACACCTCTAGTTGTTGTGTTTGAGTAATCTCCATATTAATTTCCACAGTGGTTGCAACTATCTGCACTACCACTAACAGTGGAAAAGGGTTCCTTTTCCTCCAACATAGTCACCAGTATATTTTTAAATTTAAAAAATAAACAAACAAAAAAAGGATTATATGAAACAGTATTTCATGAAAAAATAAATAAAAATTAATACTAGTTAATATATTCCATATTGTAATCTTGAAAGTATTTGTTCAGATTACAAGATTTGGGTAAGAAAAAATGATCAATCAGGCAAGGAAAACACAACTGTTCTTTTTGATGAACAGTGATGAATAGTATAGTTATCTATTTTGTACATATTTACATACATATATGTATGTATATAAGTGTGTAAATCTTTTTCCTTCATTTTATCCTGCCCCATATCCCATTGTTTACTTCTTTTGGAGCACTTTCAGATTCACGTGTATAAATGTAGTACTGTCACACTAGTGAAAAAAGTGTAACTAAGATAAAAAATATACAGTATACATTGTGAACATTATAGGGAAAGAAAGTCAACCAACGGTTCTAATTGGCTTATTTCTTAATAATTACCATTCTTTCTAGGATGAAATGAAATCAACTAGATGGATTTAATTTGCTTCTTTCACTGAGCAATGATATTGAACATTGTTATATGTACTTATTATCATTTCTATTTCTTCATCTGAAAAGTGTATATTCATTTCAGATGCCCATTTTTGGATTGGGTCTCTAAATTTCCAGGAGCCTCATCTTTTTTTAGTTCTTTGTGTGTACCACATATCAGTCTTTCCCATGATGCATAGTTGGCACAAGTTTTTTTTTTTTCCCAGACTAGGCTGTCTCTTCATTCTACTGATAATTCATTTTACCATTAAAAAGCATTTTAATAAAATGAGATTCCAATTGCTGATTCTTTGTGACAAGTTCCTGTGTGATCAGGGTTTTTGTTCATAAAGTCTTTGCTTGAATGTATTCCAGAACACTATCTATTCTTATCATTCAGCAGAATTTATCATTTCTCTTTTAATAATTAGATATTTGATTCATTTTGACAATAGTTTAACACAGTGATAGATATGACTCTAATTTTTTATCCTTGGAATGTGGAAAGCCAACATTCCCTGGATCATTTATTAAGAAGATTATCATTCTTCTAATGAAAGTTCAGTCTGAAACTTTTTTGATGGTGTAGCAGTTGAGTGCGCTGTTTCTCTCAGTTGCTATGGCAGAATCAAATGATCCAAGGATGCTCCCAGTCCCATTTACAGTTCACTTTCCCATGTCCTTGCACAGCCTTCTCTGTCCACTTCCATAGGTAATCGTGCTCTCTCAGTGAAAGAGTACATGTTCAGTGCTTGGAATGTATTCTGTGGTAGAACACTTATCTTGTAGGTAAAAGATCCTGGCTTCTCTTTGGAATATGAGAATAAAAAATTGACAAAAGTAATTTGTTAACACTCATTTTCAAGATGTGATGCTGAAATGAGTTACTAAGCAAGCCTCAACATAAAAGATGGTTCAAAATCATACAAGGAGATCCTATTGCTAAAATTAGATATCTAGTAAGAACTTCTGATTGGCCTTAGACCACAAGAAGTAGGCCATACAAAATTACGCTGTATAGAACAAGCACCACCATGAGGGTAATGTTTGACTTGGTACTATGCATTTATTTAAAATTATAAAGAATGATGAAGCCTAACATAGTGATGCATGCCTGAAATCCCAACACTCACAAAGTCTGAGGCATGATAATTACAGATTTGAGAAGAGGAATCTCAGTGATTTAGTGAAACTCCTCCTCAATTAATATGACATACAATATCTTGGTCATCTAACTCATTGTGACAGCCCTAGGCCAACCCCTGTACCTAAAAAATGAGAAATTTAAAACCATTCAGTTTGCTGCTTCTTAGTGTCTTAAGCTTTTTCATTCAAGTCTCTCTTTTGTTCTTCTCATAAGCGTGTTTTCTTTTCTGATATTCCATCTCTGTTAGGGCTCTGAAATGAGTGTGAGCTTCCCGAATTTTGATGGTGGCAGATATGTTAACTTTCACAGGACAGAGGCTTAGGCATCTTAATTTCCAGGCTTCTGCTACAACAGAAGCTACTCCTGGATGCCATATTGTTCTGACTGTTCCAAGTCTTTCCTTTGGATTCAGAGGCTTCTCCAAATCTTCTTTCTTCTACTTCTTCTCATCCTCCTGCTCCTTCTCCTCCTGCTTTTGCTCCTCCTTCTTCTTATTTGTGGGTTTTTACACTTCATATGTATAACATTTAAAGAATTAATGACCTAATTTTAAAGTAATACGTGCATTAATTCTAATTGGTTATACAAGAGAATATTTACGAAGTCCTTCATAAATATGATCTCTTTTTCTTTCTTCCAATTCCATTGGAAACTGGGACCCATTCTTCTATGCAGAAAGAATTGAGTCAAGCCTCCATGATCTAATTTGTGTAGTTAGCTTTACATATTAAATGAAATAAAATACGTGAGCCAGCTCTTTCACAAGAACAGATTTAAATTGCAATGTTTCTCTTGATTTCAAATATTGCTTAAACTTAGCTTTCTGCACATAAATGTATTGTGAATTGCACGTTCAAAATAATGATCATTTATGCTACAATTTCAGATGTTATGAGGATTAAGAGACTATATGCATTCTAGTTTATTAATGGTGGTCAAGTCAACATGCTGTCACATAAAAAAAGGATGAAAATTTTGTTGTCTTCAGTAGACTTTAGTCCCATTCATAAGACACCCTTTTGACTTACCTAACCATCTATTACTACTTACCTTCAAAAATCCAACCTTCTACACACACCATGTCCAGGTTTAGTGTTTTAAAGTATGAATTTGCAGGTGGAGCACAAGCAATTCTGTACATAAGTGAGTACTGCACTGGGTTTGAGGACAATCAAGAGTCATGTCGTTTCCATAAGGATCTCTGTGCTTTCTATGCAGGCCTATACTAAAAAGTTATCAAAATGTTCTTGCTTTCATTTTTGCCATTGAAGAGATCAACAGGAATCCTCATCTTTTACCCAACATAACTCTGGGCTATGAATCTCATAACTCACTGCACAGTCATGGGAATATAGTGCAGAATATCCTCATTGTGCAGACAGGACAGGATAGGATCCCTAACTACATGTGTGGGAGAGAAAGCAAGTCTCTAGCATTACTAACAGGAACGTCCATGGCAACAGCTGCTCAATCTGGACCACTGCTGGAACTCTACAAGTTTCCTCAGGTGAGGGGTATGGATGAGAAGAATCTGGGTGTGTTTGTTGCCTGACTCAGGTTCCTTCCAAATGCAAAAAGGAAAGACTATTTTTACCTGTCAGTTTCAAAGAGTAAGGACATAGGAATTTATGTGGTAACCTAACTTTCTTCATCTATAGTAAAAAGAAGGGAAATGAAAAGATATTTCCACAATGTCATAATCTAATCAGTTATTCAAAGCTTAAAGCTCTGAGGAAGTGAGACCATTCCATAAATGGGCAGGAAAATATCTCCTTCTTTTTTTTATTACCATTCATACCCATGATTGTGGTTTGTTTAAATTCTGTTCACATCAGTTCCAATTTTCATTGTAGCTGACCTTCGGCTCTTTTGATCCTATCCTGAGTGAAAGTGACCAGTTCTCTTCTCTGTATCAAATGGCTTCAGAGGAGACAGCTCTGGCCCAAGGCATGGTGTCCTTAATGCTTCATTTCAGCTGGATTTGGGTGGGAGTGGCCATTACAGAAGGTCCAAAAGGACTTCATTTCCTGGCAGATGTGACAAAAGAAATGGACAGGAACAGAGTCTGCATGGCATTTGTGAAAATGATCCCAGTTGATCCTCTATCATACATGGCACATACACAACAACATGAATTCCTGGTGGGAGAATCCTCTGCTGTAAATGTGGTTATCATTTACTATGATGCTGACAGTTTAAATGATATAAACTATAGCATAGGTCTCCATTTAGTGACATGGAGGGTCTGGGTAACAAACTCGCAATGGCATGCAGATTTGACTGGGAAAAAGTTCTTGCTTGACTCATTCCATGGGACAATCATTTTTTCCAATCACCATGAGGAAATTTCTGGTTTCAAACACTTTGTTCAGACAGTGAATCTCTCCATGTACCCAGAAGATATTTTCCTTTATCAATTTTGGTACTGGAATTTCAATTGCTTGATATCAGAGTCTGATTGTTCATTGAAGAACTGTACACCAAATGCCTCTTTGGCACAGTTGCCTGCAAATCGTTTTGACCCTGCTATGAGTGATGTGAGTTACAACATATACAACGCTGTGTACACTGTGGCCCACGCCCTCCATGAGATGACTCTACAACAAGTTCAAATGCAGAATACAGGAAGTGGGGAAAGGAGGACATTCTCCCCCTGGCAGGTAATCTGTCTTCCACTGGATGGTGAGCATTGTTATCTAAGTCCTTTCTTAAGCACTCTAATTGTATTCCAAATATTTTAGAGCCCTTTTTCAAAACCAAGGGATTCTCCAGTAGTTTCACTGTATTATTTCTCATTACTATGGGTTTCTGACACACAAAAGTTATATTCATCTTTTAAACTGGTTCATCTATATTTTAGGTCTTGAGCATTATCACTCCCCTTCACCTTCTGATCTTCCTTCTTTCATTCCCAGGTGTTTCTCCTATGTTCACAGAGTCTGCCTCACTTTTTATGACTAACTCTCTTTTGCTCTTTTTATTCCTTAGATTTTTGGTCTCTTACTTTACATAAACCATTTAATATGTAACATTCTGTGTCTAATTTATTTAATTTAGGATTAGAGTTTTAAGATTTATCTGTTTAGTTACAAATAACTCAAATTTAGAATCTTTGTGGCTAAGTACTTTTATTGTGTGTATATAAATCATTTTTTCTTTTACATTGTGCCAGAATTGTGATTTGATTCTATGAATTAGTTTTTATTAATTAATTTTAGTGGTACATTTTAAATAAACATTGAATGCCTTCATCATAGGGAGCTTGTACCTCTACATAATATAGATCAGTTCTATTATTTCTCCTTCTTCTCTCCCTTTAACCCCTGACCTCTCCTTCTTTATGAAAGTTTCATTTCATTCTTTCCATATTTTCTCATTTTTTCTTTTCCCTTCATGTTTTCCCACTATCTGCCTCTCCTGTTTCCTTGCTCATTTGAATACTTTGTATTTGACACTATGTATTATAAGTTAACAATGCAGGATTTACACATATGTGCTCCATTTATTTCATTTGAGACGGTTGTCTCAAGATATACTCATTTACCTAGAAATGTCTCAAGCTTATCATTCTTTATGAGAGTGTATTACTACAATGTATAAAAACATGTTATTTGTTCATTCATCAGTTGATGGACATTTGGATTGTTTCCAAAATTTAACATTTAAAATTTTTTTCACTATAAACATAGATGTGCACATATCATTGTGATATGATGCCTTTAAATTTTTGAGGAAGATACCAAGAAGAAGAATAAGTTGGTCAAATGGAACTTCTAGTTCTAGTTTTTTGAGGAATCTCTCCACTGATTTCCTCTATGGTTCACAAGTATACACTGTCACAAGTAGTGACTGTATCCTTTCTCCACATTTCCTCACCAGCCATTTGTTATTCATTGATTTCTTGATAACTACTATTCTTTCTGGAATGAATTGCAACTTCAGTATTATTTCAATTTGCATTTTTTCAATAATCAATGATTGAATATTTACCATTTCTGCTTCTTCATATGAGAGTGTTTATTTCAGATGCTCATTTTTTGATTGGATCTTTAAATTTGAGAAGTCTGATTTTTCTGAGTTTTTAAGAATTTCTAGATAGTAATCCTTTCTATGCAGAACACATGGCAATTTTTTTTTTCCTAAGCTGTGGTCTACCTCATCACTCTTTGGATATTTTTCCTTGTTCTGGAAAAGCTTTTTAATAATGTGAGATCCCAGCGGTATGTTCTTTGTTGTATTTCTTTGGCAATCAACTTACTTCTTGTAAGATGCTCACCTAAACCAAAATCTAGAAGTGTTCTACATAGTCGGCCTTCCAGTACATTTACTGATTCTCTTTAATATTTAGATTTTTGGTCCACTTCAATTTCACTGGATGGTAAAATATATGGCTGTAATAGGCATTAGTCTTTGACATGTCCAAAGTCAGTTTTTCCAGCACAATTTATTAGTCTTTTTCTAATGAATTTTTAGGCAATTTTGTCAAAAAATAAGTTCTGGAGTTGGTTCTGTGTCTTCTAATCTTTTCTAATCTTTTCCATTGATCCTCTGCTTTGTTTATTCCCCTCGTCATGCTGTTTACATTATAGGGATTCTTTAGTATAATTTTACAACAGGGATTTTGATATGCCCCACTTTGAGTTTGTTGTACAGAATTCCCCTTGTTTTTTTGCATTTTTTGTAGAAAATAAATAGTAGGACTGTTTTCTATAATTTTATAAGATAGGATATTGACATTTAGAATGGGATTCCATTAAATCTGAATAACAATTTTGGTAGTATGATAGTTCTTATGCAAGAGCAAATCCTTGCATTTTCTAATATTCTCTTTGAACTCATTTTTTAGGATATAGCAGTTTTTACTGTAGAGCTCTTTTACTTCATTTGTTAGGCTGAGCCTCATTATTTCATTTTTTTGTAGTGCTTTGAAAGTTCTCTCTCACTGAGTTTGTTATTAGTGTGCAGTATGACTATTGATTTTTCTGTGTTGACTTTGTTCAGAGCTTCACTATTGAATTTGGTTTTAAATATAGAAGAATTTTTGTTAAACTTTTTTTGCATCTTCTATGTAGAATACTATCTAATGTCCAAATATTGGCAATTTAGCGTCTTCCTTTACCATCCTTAATATTTTTATTTATTTCTCTTGTACAATTGATTTTGCTAAAGTTCCAAGATCTGTAATGCTAAGAGTAGTGAGTGGGCATTTTTCTTGAATTTAAAGTGAAATCTTTCAGTTTTTGGCCATTTAATATGACATTGACTGTTGGTTTTTCATACATAACTTTTATCAAGTTGCGATAAATGCAATATATTCCAGTTTTCTGTATTTTTAAAATATTTAACAGGTGCTGGATTTTGTGGAATGCATTTTTACCTCTATTGAGATGATCATGCATTTTTGTCCTTTTCTCTATTCGTATGGTGTGTTATATTTGTTAATTTTCATATGTTGAACCAGTCCTGCAACCCTAGGATGAATACATCTTGGTGATGGTGTATAAACTTCTTATTCATTTGCTGTATTCTGTGCCAGTATTTTAAAGGTTTTATATGCATTTTCATTAGGGACATTGGTTTGTAGTTTTGTTTTAATAAGTATTTCTGTGGTATTGTTATCAGGGTATTGCTCTCTTTCATGAATAAATTTTGGAGTTTTGTTTTCCTTTCTATTTCATTAGAGTTTTAGTAGTAGCAGTATCCAGTCTTATTTAAATTTTTTGTAGAATTCAACAGTAAGTTTGTTAGGACTTTGGCAATTTTTTGGTAGGTTTTTTATTATGTCTTCAATTTCATTGACTCATTGGTTTATTTCAAACATATATTTGCTTGTTTCCATTTTGGTAATTCATATGTATCTGGAAATCTGTTCATTTGTTTTGCACTTTCTATTTTAGAAAACCCAAATTCTCAAAGTAGTTGCAGATGACCTTCTGGATTTCTATATAATCTGTCATGATTTCACCTATTTAATTAATACTTGGATGGATCTGAGTGATTTTTATCCTTTTTAAAAATATATTTGGCTAAGAATTTCTCTATTTTACTTAATTTTTCAAAGAATGAATTCTTCATTTCATTGATTCGTTGTAAGTTTTCTTATCCCATAGCATTAACTGATGTTCTCATCTCCACAATTTCCTCCTTTATATAAATTTTGGAACCGGCTTATTTCTTTCTAGAAGCTTGAAGTTCAATATTAAATTTTTATTTGAATTCTCTATGTATTCCTGATATGGGTATTGCCCACTGTGCATGTTCTTTGTGTCCCATAAGTTCTAATATATGCTACTGGATTATAACTTCATTACAGAAACTATTTAATTTCTTATTTTATTTAATTAATCCATACCCCATTGGTTGCTTGGGAGAATGTTCTTTAATTTCCATGTGTTTATGACATTCTTGTGCTATCTATTGCGTTGATTTTTAATTTTATCAAAATACATTCAGTTACTATACATGGGATAATTTCAATACCTTTACAACTATTTACACATGATCCATGAATTGGTATGTGGTCCCATGTGTGACCAAGAAGAATGTGTACTATGATGTTGTGGAAACATTCTGTGGATATCTACTAATTTCACTGTTTCAAAAGTTTGATTTATTTCTAATGTATCATTTTAAAAAGTGTGTCTAGTTGTTATTTTTATCATCCAATTAGGGTATTGGATTCACCAAGACAATTATAGCAGTGCTTATTTGATATTTCATGTGTGTTAAAATTTGTTTAATATAGTTGGGTGCACTGGTTTTTGGTGCATATATATTTGTGATTGTAATATCTTCTTCTTGTATTGTCCCCTTTCTAAGGATGCACTGAACTTTATCTCTTTTTCAGATTTATATTGGAGCTCAGTTCATGTGCAAATAGAATAGCTATCTCTAATTTTTTCTGTGTTCCTGTCACTTGGACCATTGTTTTCCATCCTTTGAATTTCAGTATATGAATTTCTTCTTTGGGTAAATATGTTTTCTTTATGCAGAATATTGCTGGATCTTGATTTTCTATCTTATCTGACAGTTGGTTTGTTTTGGTTGGTGAACAGAGACCACTAATATTTATAGCCATAACTCATATGTTTTGATTTATTTTTGTTATATAATTTTCTAGTTCTAGCTCCCCTTTTCCCCCACTGTATAATTGTTTGCTTTGCCTGTTGGATTTATTTTTCTGGGGTTGACTGAGCATTAATCCTTGTTAGCTCGTCTTTCAACATCCTTGTAAACATTTTGGAGTTTTGGTATTCGTGAATTACTTCCAGTGTTATTTTTCATGTAAGTATTATATTTTACCATCAACTTTGAAAGAGCCTTCTGTGGGGTTTATCCATATGGGTTAGACATTGTTTTCTTTTAGGGGTTGACATACTTTATTCCACATATCCATTGCAGGTTTGTGTTGAGTAGTCTTCTATGATCCTAATGAGCTTTTATTTAATGGTTTTCCTTACACCTTTTGACACTATTGTCTTTTGCCACTTTTCTTAAATATTCACTGATATATGGCTTCCTTTAGTTATTTTTGATAATGGCTAATTGGAATTCTATTTGCCTCACTTACTGTCTTAGTCCCTTTTTACTTGTTGCTGAGGCAAAACACCTGATACCCAAAATGGAGGGAGGAAAGCTTTATTTATTACAGTTTTTGGAA